GCAGGGTTAAAACACATGCCTCATACACCTGGCGCTTAGTGGCAACTGATAGATTGCGGTCCATGAACACCGTACGACGCAGCGCCCTGAAGGCCCTCGATGCTCCAGCAATGCGTGACTTGATGTCATGAGCCGATCGACCATCTGTATGTACGATGGCGCCGAGATACCTGAAGTCAGCCACGCTCTCAACAATATCACCCACTACCATCAAAGGCAAGCGGTCATGTGCTGTGAGTCCGTAGCCGACCGGCATAACCTTGGTCTTGGCGAGATTCACCTTCAGGCCAAATGCGCCAGCAACACGTACAAAGGCAGCCAGAGCCTGTTGTGCACCCTCATGGGAGGTAGCAACCAGTGCAGAGTCGTCAGCAAACTGGCAGTCGTTGTGCCGTTTTACAACGTCCGTAATGACCTGCGGAATAGTAGCCGACCACCAGCATTCGTCGCCACAGGAAGTCCGATATCCGGAATGTCTGCAATCGCCTTGTACCATTGCTGGAACACAGCCCACATGTAGATATTAAACAAGACTGGTGCCATGCAGCATCCTTGACGCAAACCATTGTTTACATCAATCGGGTCAACGTCAGCCCCCGCCAGTACCAATGATGCCTTCATGTTGTCGTGAAAAGCTTGGATAATGCGGATGAGACTATCGGGGACACCAGCTCTTCCCAAGACGAACGATAGACTTTCACGGTTGACAGAATCGTAGGCTTTCCATAGGTCTACGAATACCAGGAACCCCTTGCATCGATGTTCATACAGCTTTTCCGTAAATTGACGTCCTGTGAAAACCATGTCGGTACACGATCGTCCACGACGAAAACCACACTGGGTGTCTGGCAAGATAGACTCTGCAAGAATCTGCAAACGCTGCTGGATCAAAGAAGCCACTGCCTCCACTGCCTCCACTGCCTTGCCACTGCCTTGCCACTGCCTTGCCACTGCCTTGTCACTGCTTTGCCACTGCTTTGCCACTGCCTTGCCACTGCCTTGCCACTGCCTTGCCACTGCCTTGCCACTGCCTTGCCACTGCCTTGCCACTGCCTTGCCACTGCCTTGCCACTGCCTTGCCACTGTCTTGCCACTGCCTTGCCACTGCCTTGCCACTGCCTTGCCACTGTCTTGCCACTGCCTTGCCACTGCCTTGCCACTGCCTTGCCACTGCCTTGCCCACAACCTCAAGTAATGAGATGCCCCGCCAATTGTCACAAACGGCGAGGTTCCCTTTCTTGGGGATCGGCACGAGATTACAGTCGACCCAATCCTGGGGGATCTCTTGGGCATCCCAGGCACATTTCACCACATCCAGAATAGCGGACATACACCGAGGTCCACCAGCTTTAACCATCTCGGGCAGGATACCTAAACTCCCAGCAGCCCTACCGCTCGGCATCCGGTTCACAGCTCTCTGAAGCTCTTCCGATGTTGGGACTGCAGCAATCCAATCCCATACCGGTTGCTGTTCGACCATGCTGACGATGTCCATGTCCACCACGCTCTGAACATTTAAAACACCAGTGAAGTGCCGTCTGAACCTCTGCCCCTGCTCCTCAGGTGATGTGCACAGATTTCCATTTTCATCCCGAACAGCAACGACAGGACTCGGGACAAGCCCACTCTGAGCGTTCTGCAGAATTTTGATGCCTTTCCAGACTCGGGCTGAATTAAAGCGCCCTGCTTCTATGTTCTCTGCCTGATCTGCAAACCAATCGTTCTTCGCTCGTCGCACAGCCGCTCTAGCCCGTGTCTGGGCCTGCTTATATAGCAGGTGATCCTCTTCACGGCGGCCGTTCGCTATCCACTCCGAGTAACAGCTATTACGCTTGGCAAGCATAGGCTCGATTACCGGTTGATTCTCAACAAACCAATCCGGTTGATGTTGCCTGCTCTGTCCCAACACTCCTTCAGCAGCATCCGTCATAGCGCTGCGCAGTGCCCGGCATTGCCCGGTCGGTTCAACAACAGGGTCCGTCTCTGCCGTCCTGTCTAGTCCGGAGTTAATCGCGTCCTGATAGTCGTCGATGTTACGCCGCGTTTGGTCCTCTGTGCTAGATGGTGCTGGTGCCAATAGTCGTGAAACATCAAATCTCGGGCGTCGGGCGCTGGTTGGCTTAAACCATCTGACTGGGCCCAGACAGAAACGCATGGCAACGAGAGTGTGATCACTGCCGCATTCGGCAGAGCGGATAACCTGGGTGTCGATGCAGCGCCGTCTCTTCCACTGGGGTATCACAATATAGTCATTACAATGGACTCTCTTTGATCTTGGGTGTTGCCATGTTCCTAGGAGACTTGACTTTTTACAAAACCAGGTGTTACACAGCCACCCTTGATGCAAAGCCAGAAAACTAAGAAGTTCCTCGCCAGATGAATTTACAGCACCCACTCCATGAGAAACCGCGGATCCTACACCAATCATCGTCACTCTGTCCAGAACCTACCCGTGCGTTGAAGTCCCCGAGCAGGATGTATTTTTCGTCTGTTGGAATTTTACTCATTACGTTCTGCAGCGAGTTGAAAAACTCATCCTTTGACGAGCGAGTACTGCTGAAAGTTGGAGCATAGGCTGTGATGATCGTGAGCCACTCTGGGGAACCGTCTGTCGAGGTAAACTTCAGGCAAATTGCCATCACTCGTTCCGAGCAATTACTGATCTGGCATCCCCCGTCGCGCCACAATTTCAAAGCTCGTCAACGCAGTACGAAGGCAACACCCTCACCTCGCCGACACGAGTGGCCCTCAGCTGGAACAGGCCGTCCTGACGTTATTACTTCGGCTCCCTCAACTCGATATTTCTCGCATCCAAACTAGTGAGTTTCCTGTACTGCCAGAACGTCCATGTCCAGGCGGGCAAGGTGACGAACAATACGAACAATTTTTCGCTCGTCAGAAACATTTCCTCAGACAGCTGCCGTCTCAATAGGTCCTTCGCTTTCAACCAGGCTGCGGACGTTCCACGTACCAATGCTCAAGACCTGTTCCCCCTGTCGTCGTCCTTGTGCGGTAGTTGTCACCACCCGCGGGTTCGCAACACCTCGGGGCACACACACACACACACACACACACACACACACACACACTTTCTCTCTTTCTCACATACAAACACACGTACGCACGCATTCACGCACATGCACATGTCTATGCACATGCACACACATACACACACCGTCAAGGCTGCGTTCCTTAGGTGGGGCACACTCGGTTGGGCAAAATCTATGCTTGCAAGTGCACTAGTGGGCAAGTGGACACTTCCTGATGGACACTAATCAGCTATGTACCAAATCTGAGAAGCAGTCTATTTTTTTGTCTCATTCTGGGGAGGATGGCCTATGGCCAAAAATTGGTGGAACCTTTGATATGATTTCGCCGCAAAGAGACCATCATGTGTGACTGTTGAGCATATTATTCTTGAAGTACATCTACCGTAAAGTACAGCTGATCCGCCCCCCCCCCCCCCCTGCTATGTCGCTTCCCAGCTGGGTTATCAGCAGGAGGCGGGAAGTAGATCAAGGCTGTTAAGTGCAGTATGATGTACAACAGCGTGGAAGACCAGACTCGATGTGCTGGGTTGTGCACATTTTCATCCTGCACCGGCACGTATTGTGCGCAGCTGTGCACACGTTTGTTCAATACCGGTATCGTATTTCGTTGTATACATCGAAGTCGCTTCACATTCAGAAAATCGACAGGGGGCGGCAATTAGAGGGGGGGGGAGGGGGATCAACGGTACTTTACGGTACATACATAGCCAGTGAAAAACCTCAAAAAGCCGCATGTATGTCATGACTGCTAGGTAAGTTGGTAGAGTACAGTTTATGGTACTTTAATCCCAACGGCATAAGTTTCAACCCTATGTTGATAGCAGGGCAAGGGCTTCGGCCTCATGTTTCTGTCAGGGGTATGGAATTCATGCTCATGTTGATTTCATGGGCATGGGCTTCAGCTCTATGTTGGCAGACAACATATTTCTTGGCTGTAGCAGCTGGCAGGAGCTTGATTCATGTACAAAATAATGTGCTGTACTGTAAATTGGGAAACTTTCGCTAGAGATTAAATTCGCTATTTTCGCAACCACCACACATTCGCGAATATAAATCGCCGCAAACCTCTCCGTACATTGATTGTAGACAGTACAAAATCAGACTGAAGAGATAGAATTGCAAAATTTTCTCATCGTGAATCAGCCCAATGTATGAAAACGCTAAATTTGCGCGCCGCTAAAGATTGTCCCTTTACAGTACTCACAATGTTGTCATGTCTGCTTGAAGTAAGCAAGGTTAGAGTGAAACCGGTGTCTGTATGGTCTGGGAATATCTTTGTCGCATTGGAAATTCCCTGCTATGGCGGTGTTAAGCAAGTGGAATGGGTTAGCAGAGAGCACGATTTATATATAATTTTTCATACTTTTGAAGTACTTGGAGTTGATCTCTCCTTGCATTGCAATATTTTTCTCAATATTTATTCAATACCGTATTGTGTCCCTAATTAGTGATGCAGCTACTGCCATTGTTGCTATGGATCCATGTGCTTGCTCAGGTTGATCCCAAGGAAGCAAGAAAGGAGAGGAGCAGTCTCCAATTACAATGCACTCGTTAGCTATCTTCACAGTTCTGCTCCTGATCTGCTTTCAGGACATGATCCAGCATGCCCAAGCTGATGGTAAGTATCTCTGCATGTGCATGATTGCTCAAACGTGTGTTGTCTGCAGTTCTTCTTTACTTTGGTACCACAAAAAGCTAGTGCGTTATCATTATACTCATCCACCCCTAGGGCCGCTCAACAAACCAAGGAAGAGGAAAGAGAAGAGAGAGAGAGAGAGAGAGAGAGAGAGAGAGAAAAAAAGAGAGAGGGGGACACAGAGTAATGCTGTTGCCTGAAAAGGAGGCCAACGCTTATGTCAGAAAGCTATGAGATTGTCCATTCTGGTCACATCATGCATCGTGTCATGTTGTAGTTGGAGTGTATGATCATTTGGGCGGATTCGGGCATTCCTCTGCACGCTCAGGTATGGCATAGCAGCCACCACACTTCTCTGTCCTGTGCAAGCTGCCTGATACGTGATAGATTGTCATCGGTGCACATCTCTATTTTGTTTGGCGATAATCTAATCGTATTTAGTATTGTCGGAAGTATCAAAAAAGTATTCTTTCTAGACCAAAGAGTGGTATATTTGATAACATTTAATAACGATAGAAATATTATAGAAAATCTAAGTTAGAGAAATAACACTAAGAGCAACAGCAGTGAAATTTACAAGTGTGAATTTTAACAATCAAAGCGAGAAATGAACAAAGGAGAAAGGAAGGAAAGACAACGTGATAACACATAACAGCAGTACATTACACCTAGAACATTAACGGCCAAGCTTGGCCGCACTAAACACGACACGTTACTTGAACAATTTCAACCCAATTATACTATCTTTCTGTACACACAAATTAGGCTTATATTTGTGTGTACAGAAAGATAGTATAATTGGGTTGAAATTGTTCAAGTAACGTGTCGTGTTTAGTGCGGCCAAGCTTGGCCGTTAATGTTCTAGGTGTAATGTACTGCTGTTATGTGTTATCACGTTGTCTTTCCTTCCTTTCTCCTTTGTTCATTTCTCGCTTTGATTGTTAAAATTCACACTTGTAAATTTCACTGCTGTTGATAGAAATATTTACGATACTTCTCCAGACGTTTCGTTGTTCTGAACAACATCGTCAGTGGATAAAGAAATCCAGAAATCTTTATCCACTGACGATGTTGTTCAGAACAACGAAACGTCTGGAGAAGTATCGTAAATATTTCTATCGTTATTAAATGTTATCAAATATACCACTCTTTGGTCTAGAAAGAATACTCTTTTGATATTACAATGAGAGTGAATAATCAACGGCTTATCCACCAACTCATTCTCGGAAGTGTTGAAAGCGGCCAACCACGGAGTGTTCCCCGTCCTTTGTTTAATAGAAGTACGAGGTCATGTTCATTAGTGCTGACTGCAGTCCAGTTCGATAATCTTACTGGAATCAGAGTGTTAGAGTGCTTGGCATAGCATGGAACAGTGATGAGATCTAACATTCTTTAACTTGCAAACATCAAAACAAAAGGCACTTGAACAAACTTCACTACCTTGCAAACTTGAACAATTTCGTAAAGGCGTTCACGAGCAGGAGAACTCCTCTTGAATTCTATTATTGGCTCATCTGCTCTATGCAAGGGGCGGTAGGGCCAGGAGACACTGGGTCAAACTTTCAATGTACTCCGGCAACATCTGCTTGATTTTCTCTTCCGCTTTTGTGTCGCGATCAAAGCACTCCAACATGAACAATGAGTTTGGACTGTGTATGGCCAGCAGAAATTTCTATCCTGGCTCATACCACTTTGGATCACAACCAGCTACTGCAAGAATGAGCATGAATTCCTACTTCAAGTAGATTGTAATTTTGCGAAGCCCTAGCCAGCAGATCAAGGCTGCAGCATGGCATAAAGAAATCATGTGACAAAGCAAAAGGAAATACTGTTAGATATTTGCATGCGTTTTCACACACGTCTCTGATTGGACAGCTGCACTTTCGATGCATTTCTAGTATTCATTGCTACTGTGTGTTACCGTCGGACAACATTACTATTTATTGTTACATGTACGTTCTATGTCAAGTCAACCCTGTTCCCATTCGTTTTCTAGTTCTACTGTAAAAGCAGAAATTTTCGATGGTGTAATATTTTCGGTATTCTCCAAAATCGGCGGTTCGGTAGAGGGAAATTTTCGGTAAAACCCGTTTTCCAGGTAAGTGTACTAGTACTACATGTATACAGTCTCGGTTGTAGGGACATTTTCGGTGCGTTTTATTTTCGGTAAAAATTGTCGGCACCGAAGTTACCGAAAATAAAACACCACCGAAAATTTCTGCTTTTACAGTATACTTACTGCCATGACTTGTCCCGTTTATGGTTATACAGTCTTCTTCTTTTCCTGTCGTATTGCTTTCGTTTACCGGAGACTTCTACGGTATGTCTCTATTCGCCTCCACGATGTCCTTATCCTGACACTAGCATTTTCTGCGTCGCGTATGGCTGGTGGGAATATCTACCCCAGCCGTCGTGATGTAGACGCTTCCTCATCATTACTACTTGGAGGACAGTCACGAGTTCGAGTATCTCTGATACTAATGATAATGATTCTTACTGAAGTATGAGGAGAATTGTTTCCGAGTGGAAAGACACTGAGTGTCTATGTGTAATAACTAAATGAGCTCAACGAAGAGCCAAAACGTCCTTTAGGATTCTACTACTACTAGTACTGGCAGAACCAGAGTAGGATCTCTAAAAAATACTGTAAATCATATTATTTTAACGACCCGCAAAGTTAGCGATTTTCTGGTTTTCGAAGGTTAACGGTTTGAAAAGTTAACGATTTTCTCAGACAGATGC